CCGATACTATTTGATCCCATTTCTGTGTTCTTTACAAGAAACAACCTGATGTCTGATGACCTGTTATATTAAAACCACCCATTTGATATATTGGAATCCGTAAAGTAAACCATCCTCACTTTGCCATTGCAAGATTTACTTGCAATAAATTGGTATTTAGGTATACACATTTTTTAACTTTAGTACACAGCAAATGCTGCATTTCTTATGCAACAATGAAGTTCCGTTCATGTCCTCAAACAGCGTCGACTCCTAAGTGTTTTAGGCAATTAAAATTGTATGCAATACAGCGATCACTACTCCATTGCTGTAACCCGTGTTTGGTGATAGAAACCTACACCTGTTTATTTGTCATCATTCATTTAATCGTCAAATTAATGAATTTATAATAGGTATAATTAGTGGTATCACCACTCAGATTACCTGACAAAGATTCCCATTTAGCATTTCTCAAGTCTGCACTAAATATTCAAATTAAGGTCTGATGTATTTCATGTCATGTAATGCATGCATAGAGGTGCAGCAAAGGAATTATCAACTGAGTTAAAAAACCAACACAGATGAAAGGATTAAACGATAGCACGCTAATTGATTTATTACGTTTATCTTGCCCAATGGATATGTCAAAAGGTAGGGTTTATGTTTGTAGAGTTACTAACCTATACTGAATACACCCACATTCTGTCGTGTAAACACAACGACCTTCATTCAAGGATTAATCGACAATACGTTGACCGCTCATTGTTTTTTTAAAAATAATTCTGGACATTATGTAAATATTTGTCAGGCGTGTTATCTTAGGTATCCAATGAGAACATACACCAATGTGAAAAAAACCTGAAACAAAGTCACTCGACATGGAACAGTTTTTTGTCAGCTGCAGATGAATGGCATATCGTTCCTATATGTGGACATTGATGGACACATTCCTCGAACAAGGTAAGGGAACAGGCCAAAAGGGACAAAGGCCAAAAGGGACAAAATTGAAAAAGTCAAAAGGGCCAAACTTTTAGACAATAGTAAGATTAACAGAAATTCACTACATGTTGTTGCAGTAGTTCTAATCCTAAACATTCTAAACATATCAGAGTGTATCAGTGTTGTTTATTTAAAAAATAACAGAGTGGTAAAATGTTTACTTTATACCATACAACTGTTTGTGTAATGATTACAAGTAGTCAGTAATCAAAATAAGATTTACAGTAGTGGTTTTAAAAGTGTTTATGTTATGAGTATAGTCAACCATGCAACTGTTTGTGTAATGATTACATAAATATTTAATCAAATATCAACTATCGAGTGTATGATGGTCACACTATAAATTATTACTTTTGTTACTATTTACATATTGATACAAATAATAATAATAAATAATAATATAATAAAACATAAAATATATATATTAGTTTGCATGTTCCCTTTTTACCTATGGCCCTTTTGACTTAAGTCTATGGCCCTTTTGACTTTCCTTTGGCCCTTTTGACTTTCCTTTGGCCCTTTTGACTTTTTCAATTTTGGCCTGTTTGTCCTTTTGCCCTTTTGACTACAACCCACAAGTTAATAGCCTAATAGTTTTGCTATAACGTTTCTTGGTTATCTGTATTTTCTTCTTATGTTCGTTGTAGCATTCAACAAAATCATTCCCTTTCAAATGTTTCCGTAAGTTTACCAAACGAAACGTAAAGAATCTTCAGGTTCCATATTCTTTCAATTAGGTTTCCGTTTTCCTGAAATAAATTTTATTTTATGTGACAATATCTTTTATTTGAATTCTGATGTACAGAAACATTGACATTACGAAACTAAAACCTATATAATACATAGGCAGTTTAACGTAGGTTAATGTAGGTTTCTGGATATATGCATATGGAGTCAAATTTAATTTTCTACGATCGTTTCATTCAAGTTCTCACTAATAGAAACCATCAATGATGGTTTCCAGTTGCTTTATGCAATGGAAACTAACAATGATATTTTACCGTTAGTTTCCATTTCTGTAAATCTGGTTCTTAGTTTGTTTCCGACAGTTTTCAGTCGCTGAAACTAACCGTGTTAGTTTCAGCAACAAGAAACTGCCGGAAACAAACAATCATAGTTTCCGTGAGCGGAAACCTACATGAATCTGGCATTACCCAGTTTCATGTAGGTTTCCGGAAATCTGGAATGTAATGCGGGGGGATATAGTCGTCGCCTCGTCCGTCTGTCCGTCCGTCCGTCCGTAATCATTTTGTTTCCGGAGCATAACTCCAAGACCATTCGATATTTTTCAACAAAAATGTGTATATATATTAAACAGAACCTAAGGTGGTGCCTTTTGCTATTTACAGATTTTTGGCATTTTTATTTTTCTCAGTTTCCATGGAAACGTTTTGGACTCAGTCTTAAAGGGAGGGGTGGGCTTCGTTTCCGGAGCATAACTCAGAAATCGTTCAGTATTTTTCTGCAAAACTTGGTAGATACATCAAACAGAACCCAAAGTGGTGCCTTTTGCTATTTACAGATTTTTGTGATTTATTATTTTCTTGGTTTCCATGGAAACGATTCGGACTTCGTCTAAAAAAGGAAGGGTGGGTTTCGTTTCCGAGCACAATTCGAAAACTTCTTAATATCTTTCAGCAAAACTTGGCAGATATGTGAGGCAGATCCCAAAGTGGTGCCTTTTGCTCATTACAGATTTTTGGCATTTTTTTTCTTTGATTTCCATGGAAACGATTCAGACTTAGTCTCAAAAGGGAGGGGTAGGTTTCATTTCCGGAGCACAACTTGAAACCCGTTCAATATATTTCAACAGTATTTGTGAGATATATGAAACAGATCTTGAAGTGATGCCTTTTGCTATTTACAGATTTTTGTCATTTTTATTTTTCTAGGTTTCCATGGAAACGATTCGAACTTAGTCTCAAAAGGGAGGGGTAGGTTTCATTTCCGGAGCATAACGCGAAAACTTCTTAATATCTTTCAACAAAATTTGGCAGATATGTGAGGCAGATCCCAAAGTGGTGCCTTTTGCTATTTGCAGATTTTTGTATTTTATGTTTTTCATGATTTCCATGGAAACGATTTGCACTTAGTCTAAAATCCAGGGGGCAGTGGGGTAGCCTAATGGTTGAAGCGTTGGCTCGTCACGCCGAAGACCCAGGTTCGAATCCCCACATGGGTACAATGTGTGAAGACCATTTCTGGTGTCCCCCGCCGTGATGTTGCTGGAATATTGCTAAAATTGGCGTAAAACCAAACTCAGTCAGTCAGTCAGTCTAAAATCAAGCTGGACTTAAAGTAACTGTCAGATGATTTGTTCTTTCCAAGATGTGGGGGCAGGGGGGATATGTCATCTTCTGATGACTCTTGTTATTTTTGCTGTGAACATATGTTACATTTGACCACTTTCTAAAATGGCATTGTGTATTTCATAGCTTTCGGACGTGGGAGCCGTCCCAATTAACACTTATCAGAGGGGTACACAAAGTCCGCAGTCTAGACTACCAGTTGTCCGACTTCCATTTTGTGTGCGGAAGCCGCGGTGGCTGAGCGGTCTAGGCGTCTGACTTTGTGTGCTGGCGATTAGGTGCCTGACTCTGAGGGTGCGGGTTCGAATCCCGGATGGGACTCAACCCAAATAGTACTAGAATCTGTACTTTACTCAGAAAGAAAGAAGGATGCAGATAAGTGAAGTTATATAGAGGTACAAATGATTGTCCGGGACCAGTTCCAACAAAGCCTCTGCAAAGCCTTATTTCCCAAATAAGGCTTTGGTCGGACCCTTAGCTCTTGCTACCATTACCCCTACTATGAAAAATTAGTAAAATGTCCCCGGCAGCCACAATTCCCCAAGGGAGAAATAGAAATGTATTGCGCTTCCTCCCAAGGGGAATTGTGTCTCACCGATGAGAGAACCTCACATCACACAAAGTTGTGACGGCGGGATACGAACCCACATGTACAGCTTGCGCAGACTATACATAATGGGCCGCACCACTCAACCGACTGAGCTACCGCGGACTTAGCTGAAGTAGGTCAGTTTAACGGGTATTGTATCACGCACCCACGCATCACGTGCTGTTGACAGGATCAATAGTCCTCTGTCTGGCCCATCAAGTAGTACAAGGTAGGTTCGTCTGATTTTATTTTCATTTTATCTATGTTCACGTGCCGCTATGTGACGTTGACCTCGATGAAACAGTTTAATGTGAATCGCCTATGATCTCTTTGGTGTTCGTAATAAAGGCTTGCTGGGCTTTTTGTATCCCCTGTTCTATGTACTTTTTTTTCTCGTCCTCGCTTATAGCAGACTTACGAGACTTGGATCGAATCTCTTGTTTCATTTTGTCATATTTTGTGAGTTCAGAGAGGATCAAACGAAACTCCTCCTCCGAGATCTTGTTGTCAGTGAGTGCGGTAGAAATAAGATCGCTTATGGTGTTAAGCTTTGCTTCAGCTAGAACCCTGATCTCATCATGCTTCAATGCTTTACGATGTAGTCTGCGGGATACAAGCTTAAGCACCACCCCCAACACCCCTGTCACCCCAGCTGTTATTTCGAGCCCCATCACTATAGGTGCTGCCACGATGGTAGCTAACAACCCAACACCTGCCACCCCTAGCCCCATGCTGGTTGTCATAAGGGTGGTATCAACACCGTCCACGGCATTGAAAGCTCTATGGTACTTCTTATATAGTGCTTTCCGCTTGTCGCGGTCTTGTTCTAGTTGACGTTTTACATCGCATAACTGTCTCAAGCGGAACCCGTCTACGGTTTCCAGGGTCTTCACTACTTCATCTATGCCTGGGTATAGCCCCATTCTGTGTGTCTATAATATATCTGATAAAATATTTTTTAATTGGGGATCAGTTAATAACCGATCAACGTACTTGAAGTTTATAAGGCCTACGTTCTCAGGTATCTCAATAGAGGAAAGTTCAATAGGTAAAATTGGGGAACTTCTAAATATACAGGAGCTGTAAAAGGGGGGCAGCAACCCCTCACCATCCTGTCGTATAACGAGACTACAATAGCTGTCTTTAGTGGCCTGAATAGATGGGGTTATTAGCACCCCAGATAAAAGGTACCATGAGGACCCACGGGTATTTTTAAAAAGAGTGTTATGATTAATGTGGAGCCTGGAGGCATAAGCCTAGGCAATGGTGGTAGGTTAGAGTATATATTAAATGATAACTGTGCATTCCCCCCGGTTGCATCTAACATGTAACCCGGGTGATCTGGGATTTGGGAAATTCTAATTTTTTTAGGACCGCTGGATCTAAACCCCCCAAGCAAGATACCGCTGTTCTTAATTTCATCGATCTCCCTAGATCCATGATTACGAAAAGAAACGTAAGGTGTGGTGAGGGTTATATCGAGCAACCATTTGGGTCCTCTAAAGTGTTTGTGCAGGAGCCAATGGTCTATTTTCATCCGCGTATACACGTTGCCTCTCAAGCGTAGGACGTACGAGGTGTCATTCTCGCCAGGTTGATCGAATCCCTCTACACCACCTAGATCCCCGAGTGTGGGTTTGGGTAGATGATCGGTCATTACCGCCCGCCTATACACGTTGTCTTTCAAGTGTAGGACGTATGAGCCACCTTCCTCACCAGGCTGGTCGAATCCCTCCGTGTCCCCTAGGTCGTTAAGTGTAGCGTTGGGATGATGACTAGTCATTGCTATAATACTATTATGATATAGTTTCCAACTAGTAGTTTGCTGGTAATAGTTTAGGGGTATAGCTCAATCCTATAATATATTTTAATTGGGTTTCATTTAACCTTCGATTAATGTACTTAAAGCTGATAACACTTAGATTAACGTGCGTGTCAAAAAGCGGGGTCTTAGCTCTACTTCCATTAAGGAGACGAACCCCATCAAGGCTTGCTAAAGGTCTGTTTCCCGGTACCTTAATAATGTTACAACGTTGGTTATTACACCTGTCTTCCCAATGTATCACCATATCATCTATAATGTAAATATACACCCCAGGCGACGGTCTATGTCCGAGATAGACGTCTATGATAATTGTGTAGTTTTCCGCGACATTTCTAAAGACCTCTTGGTCTTCGAGTAATTTGATCTCTGTCTTCACCTTCCCACTGGAAGCTAACATGTTGCCCGAGTGGTCTGGTATTGGTATGACTTGTACATTAGATTCCGGAACGAACGATCCTATAATCATGCCGTTGTTCCTAATCTCGGAGATAGTATTATTTTGTTTCAAGGAGATATAAGGTGAGGTGAGGGTTAAGTTAACTAACCATTCAGGCTCTTTAAAATCTGATAACGACACCCGCCTATACACGTTGTCTTTCAAGTGCAGGATGTATAAGGTGCCTTCCTCACCAGGTTGATCGAATCCCTCCGTGTCCCCTAAGTCGTTAAGTGTAGTGTTGGGGTGAAGCCAAGACATTGCTATAATACTATTACGATATAATTTCCAACTGGTTTTCTGATAATAGTTCAGGGGTGCACTTCACCCCCATGAAGTGTATGTTGTCGGGTAGGAATATCTTGGTTAGTGATATAGTGTCTTCCACGACCACGGTGACACCCTGCAGACTGGTTTTGGAGTCGACACCCACCCGCACGTAAACGTTGCAAACGTGATACTGGTGTTGTTTCCCCCACCTCAGTTTGACCCCCTTCACGATTTCGACATCATCCCGCGATGGTTCCCCTAGGTAGACTTGGATGACCAGTGTTGAGTTCGCTGGTAGACTCTCCAGGATGGTGACCACGCCTTCGAATTCAGACACCAACTGCAATACCACGTTTTGCATGCCCGCTTTACTCGATAGCATGTGGGCTGCCATACTGGCGAGTGGGCTGATGACTACGCTACGTCTCTGAGTCGGGACGTAAGCCACGAGCAGGGTTCCGTTGTTCACGACTTTGTTTAGGTGGTTGTCTTTGTTATCCGTGAACACGTAGGGGGAGCCGAGCCTAATATTGAGAAACCAGTCGACTTTATCGGGTAATAACACCCACTTGTCATCATCGGTGAAGACGAGCGTATATGGCTTGTTTCGGGCGACGGTAGTGCTCTCAACATCTTCTAAGTCGAACAGTTTGCCCCGAACGATGGGTATATCATCCATTTATCATCACCGGTGTTGACTAGGGTGTACTTAGTGTTGACAACCGCTCTTGAGGTATCTACTATATCACTTAGGTTGCTAGTACCACCATTGGAGGGGACTTCAACGCGTTTGTAAATACTGTTTTTCAGTTGCAAGGGGTACAATTTACCATCTACTCCGGGGTCGTCGAATCCGCGTGTGTCCCCGAGGTCGGAGATCCCCACATTGATGCATTTTTTCAACTTCATTCCAGGACCTTGTGCGCTGGTCATTTTATGTGCAGCGTTATGCTGAGGTATCCTATATTCACGAGATTATGATTTATATCTAACACCGATATTATCAGCTCAGGGATGTTGCCCTGGGTTAACCTCTTATACTGCCGAGGTGAAAACGACTCGGTTCTACCGTCGTTGTATTTCTCCGTTTTCACCGGTACGGCTCTCAGTATAGTGGAAGGGTGACCCCCTTGAATGTTGTCCGTTGTGCTAACCTGGCTGAGATGAATGCACAGCTCTCGATACGGTACTAGGTCGGGTAACTTAGTGCCTGTGGTGGTAGTCGTTGGTTTTATCTCGTCAGGCTGCATACCGAGTGTCCTCGCCAATGGTCGGCCAAGCCTCAAGGAGTTTCTTCCGTTGTTGATTAACACCACTGTGCCGTTTGAGTCGTTCATCTTGAGTTCGGCTCCCAGGGTTTGAAGACCTGCCGTAAAGAGAGAACGCTGCTGTAGTAGCCGCCAGTTATCTGGTTGCGAGCGCCACCTACGAACAGTTTATTGTTGCTAGCGTTGATGTTAGTCCATCGCGGTAGGTAGGTGATATCGCGCACAGTGCGAATTTCGAGTTGACCCGACGTGTTATCGATCGCGTGCGTCAACTGAACGGCCTCACCGCCGTTATTCCTGGAAGTGTTATGTACATGTTAGAGTATATAAACTCATTATATAATAGTTTTAAAATGTACTCCCCTGGTGTGTTTTACCCTAAACTGAACGTAGATTTCCCCCACATGAAGATCGTGGTCGCTGCCGGGTTGTATTTCGATGCCCAGTTCATAGATGTGTTTGATAAGTATAAGTTTTCGGTGACTAACGCTAAGGTAGTTCACGCTTGGTTCAACAAACCGATGCAGTTCTGGCAGAATCAACTCAACTTCGCCGTGTGGTGCGCTACAACGGGGTGTGGTGTGACATTAACCGACACTCGGCGTGGCCCACTGAGTCAGTCTGTGTTCACGTTCCACGTATACTACCAGGTCAGGCGTATCCTCAAAGAGATCAGCCCGGCCCCACAGGAAAAGGCATGGAATACAGTAAACAACCAGTACGATAGACGGGCCTACGAACGTATTTGCAACGAATTCGAACTAAACACGAAGACGGATTGGCGTTTGCCGGGACCGAACCACGGGTTGGGTATCCCCATCGCTCACAATATGCCCCTCGTGGAAGCCAGCGAAGTTGAAAGAATGGGGATACAAGTCGTATCATCACCTCACAAACCAACGAGTGGGATGACCGTTACATGGCTTTCGACAACAGTAAGGATTACAGAGTCTGGAGGTTTGAGCAGGGGGCAGCGGATGACTGGAAAAAGTTCATGCTGGACACATCGAAAGGGTTTACTCGTGCCGGGGTAATCAGGTTAAACGACTCGATTCGAACGTACGTGTGGGTGCTGTTGGGTGCGCAGACGCAAACGCGTTCCAATATCCTCGGTAAGGGGACTGCTTATGACGCTCAGAAACAGTTCGTTTTCAACGTTGAGGATGCTATCAATGCTCCAGTTGATCTCCCGAGTGCCATCAAACGCTACCAAGACGTGTTGGAATATGCCAGATCGAAAGTCGACTACGTGTTCGACGTGGGGTTGTACATGGCTCCGAGTGATATGCAACTGAGAGTAAAAAAAGTGGTGGGCTACAACAACGAAATAGTCATAGCCACGGCGGGTCAAAAGTTGAGCGTCAACCTCGATGTCAACATACCCCACATCCCACCACCCACGACCGGTGAAACGGGTATAGTGGCACCACCCCCGGAGCCTAGGGTGCAACCAACACCCCCTGTGGGGTCACCCCCACAATCCAATCAGCAACACATCGACCGTAAAACAGCCCTGGTGGTTGGCAGGGTAGCTTTGGGACTCATTTGGTTAACAATTCCTTAGCCGCTACGTACACCAAACCCACCACGGCTACGATGGCTGCCCACAGGTTTTGACTAAACCACGTGGCAGTTTTAGCCAGAGCGTTCAGCAACCACAAGATGATGCTACCCAGGATGCCAGGCAGGGCTTCGGCGGCCTTACCAGCCAGTTTAGCCAGGGCTTCCCCGAGTTTTTTTATCCAGGCTTTGACACCCCCACCACTTGGTGCAGGTGTGGGTGTACCGCCGGCAGGCATCAGTGACACCACCAGGGTTGATATGATGAAGCCCAATGCAGTCAGAATGCTGGCGATGGTGATCCCTTGCTCCCGGAACAGGGTCCAAATCCTGTCAGCTAGCGTGGTGTCTTCATTTAGAACTCGATCGATGGTTTCCCGTACTCGACTGATCTGCGATCGGAGGGCTTCCCGGTTTGAGGAAGCGGATTCCAACCGAGTCCGTCCCTCTTCTTCCAAGTTTTTTATTCTCTCCTCGATACGGCGTTTCATATCATCGCCTTCAGTTTCGTGAGTTTTATTTTCTCGAGCGATGCGCCATCGACTTCGCTCAGTTTCCCCATGTTGTTAACGAGTTCTCCACGTACATGTTTCAAGGCTTAAGGCCTAAGCCTCGCAGTTCCCTCAGGGGAAATTCGAGCCCCGGCAAGGGTTTGTCATGGTACGTAGCCAATATTTTTCGATACTGTCCGATGTTTCTTTAGCATCCCCAGTATTGGCCCTGGCTACTTGCAGATCTTGGATCTAACTCTTCGGGGAAGCTTAGGCCGTATACCAC